ACCGTGAGGAGTCTGCCACTTCTTTATCAGGTGGCCATCTGATAATATTATTGGAGCGAGTACAGGCGTGTGAATGTACTGCGAGTGAGTGCAATGTCCCCTCTTACTGAACAGTCGTTAGCACTACTGCGCAAGATCAAAGTGTGACAACCAATTGCACCGTGAAGGGAGATGCCGGTGGCTCTGCGGATGCACAGGTATCGCCGAAGGTCCGCCACTCGAAGAAGTCGAGTGGATCGTGACACGGGTGTACGCCTAGCTAGCGAGCTTTAAGGAAAAATAAGCCAGTTGCCCACGGGACAACACTATGATCCTAGATTGTCTGGAGAGTTGATAGTGGAGGGCCTAGCTTTAACAGCACGACTACAGTTAGAAGACGTCGAGTAAATAAGTCCCCACGTACTCTAGGAATTTCTTCCATAGGTAGTTACTGATGAGGCAACAAGACCTCATCAACCTTAGGCCTTAGCAGCATGAGGAAAATGGTTTATAAATAAAATCCGGGACATTAAATGACTTGGTCAATGAAGGAACAAGTGCAAGCGCATATACACTTGATCTGGTTGCACCCCCAAAGCCGGCTTTGGAGGTAATTATGATTCCAATCCTAGACTCTATAGATTCTTGCGAGATCTGTGCAGTGACAAGATCAGGCAAATTTGCGCACTCGTCACAGAGGACAAGTACGCCGCCGATATTCGATCGGCAGTTGTATTTGCCGATTACGAACGGTTTCGCAGCAGTTTATCGATGAACGATAGTGTCCTTGATGAGAAGACTCGGATTAAGCGATGCACCTTTCAATTGTGGGAGTCGCTTCTAAATATTTTTTCATATAAGGATTTGATCAAATTCAAGGACATGCTTTCTGAATACGTTGTATGAGGTTTGCTAGGTATGCAAGCGAGACGAGATCAAGCTCAAACTGGGATCGAAGTACTGTGTCATAAAGCAGTGGCTATTGCCTTATGAACAAAGACTAGCGGTCGACTAGTTCTTCGCCGATCACTTTGCAGTGGGCCATGGGAGAGAATTAAATTTCCCTCACAGATCTCCGAACTTCTTTGTGCGAAAGGCCACAGGGGGATGGCGGATAGTGCACGCGGTCAACAAGATAAATGTTACAACGGTACCGGCTCAGACGCCGATACCTAGGAAGGCATGAATATAGATAATATGTCAAAAGTACCATCTTCTCGTCCATAAATCGGATGGTTGAGTTTTATCAGATCCCCATGCGTCAACGGGATATCCCGTACACAGCAGCCAGAATTTTTAGCGGTATGATGTGGGAGTGGCTAGTGATGACACATAGGGCTAAGTAAAGCCCCTTGAACTGTTCAACATGTGTGTCAGCAATCAGTTAAGATCGGTACCAGATTTCGCATTGAGTTACGTTGACGTTTCGCTTGTCCATAGACGGGCTACGTATGTAAAGACCGACGTAGAGGTTCATAGACGCTAATTCGTCAGGTTCTAATACTTATGCGGAAGCATAAGCTAAATGCCAATCCTAAAAAGTGTATATTTGCTGCTAGCAAAATAATATTTCTTGGGTGCATCTTGGTTAACCCCGCGTGCGCCCTCATCCACAATAGATGAAGGCAATCACCTACTGGTATGAACCAGTCGATGTCAAGGGTCTTAGACAATTCCTCGATTTAGCGGCGTACGTACACAAGTACTCACGCAACTACTATGAGATTGCCGTTCATCTATCTCAACTTTTAAAAGATTGAGTACTGGTGATGGAACGCTGACAATCAGCGTTCTACTGAAGGTATCAACCAGAGCTCTATACAATTGCCCATCTTGGCGATTGCTGATTATACCAGACCATTCCACGTGGTCTGACACCGACGATATCGAATCGGCTGTTAGCTAATGGATTAGATACAGACGAAGTATAGTGCGTAGTATGCTATCAGTCGCGTCAGCTGCAAGCATCCGAGCGCAATCATCCAATGCATGACAAGAATCACCTTGCCACAAAGTATACAATGGCAATGTTTCGCGTGTATCTCCTGGAAGATAGGTCGTTTTTGTAGTCTATACGGACCATGCTTTTTTACGCAAGGCCGTGAAAAGTCCGCACCTCTCGAAAAGGATGGCGAGGTGGCTGTTCCTCTTCACGGAGTAAAACTTCTCCATGGAGTACATACCCGGACGACTTGATGTCGTCACGGACGCGTTTTCGCGCCCACCCGACTTCGATTCCTCTGCGCAGTTCAAAAGTGTGGTTGAAACCAGTGCTGAAAGCATTGTTTCAACACTAGTCACTAGTGTTCTGTTGTTAGCATTGCTCGACAACATCAAAAGGCCAATGCAAACCATAATGCTGTTTTACCAGTAATGGGTCATCTGGCGAGTCCATCTCGTAAATCTCTAGAATTCACTGGCCTTGTATCGATGCTCTGCAACACAATACACAACACGCAACAGAACGCTATTCTATACAGCCGTTGCCGGCGCCACACCTCGTGTTGTCGTCCCCACTCACAACGATTTGCGCCTGCACTTCTTGTATGAGTATCATGATGCACCATCCAGTGGAAATTGTAAGTGTGGTAAACTTTTTTTAGTGTGTCAAGACTTCTACTGGCCCCGCCTGTATTAATTTGTGCGCAAGTACGTTCGTGCTTGCGAGGTATGCCAACGGGTGAAGTCCATTCCTTCACTTCGTGCGCCAATACAGCCTTGCAAAACCTGGCAGTGTGATAACAGTACGTTTTAATGGAATTTGTCTTCGGTTTCCATAAAGAATCCAAGGAAGATAATAGATTCCTTTATTTTGTTGATCGTTTCATCAGGATGGTACATCTTGCTGCCAATTGGGATACAATCATAGCACAGAGCTGTGCCGTGTCTTCATCGACACGGTGTTCCGACTTTACGGTATGCCCCGTGAACTAGTCTTTGACAGAGACCCTCGCTTACTGGCGGCCTATTTGAAAAATCGTGTTCCGGTTCCTTGGAACACGTCTGACTATCCCTACTACTGACTATATCGAGACCGGTGGTCAGATAGAAAGCGTCAACCGCGTCCTCAGAGAGATAATCGGAGGATAACTCCAATAACTTACTGATTATAGCGACCTTTTTTTTGATGGTGGAGTTTGCCATCAACAACTCTGAGCATGCGTCAACAACGCATACACATTCTTCGTGAATGACGTTACAAATCCACGCCTACCTACCCATTTAGAGTGTGAATCTGATGTAAGGGGTGGGAGGGATTTCGCTCAAGTAAAAACTGCTCTCGATTTTGCTCATCACGTGTCGAAGTACTTGACGAAGCGAACGACGATGTCGATCTTTTCAGCATCAAAGAAGATAACATTTGCAATAGTGACGACATTTTTGCTGACGGGGACGACGATGCTGATATATTTAGCATCGATAATGAATATTGTAGCGAGGATGAATCCCTCGCTGAAGCAGAAAGTCAGCTCTTAGCATTGTGCACGAGGCGCAGTGATAAAAAAACACAACAGAGTCAGCAGAATACTTTCTGCTGACTTGAAAATGCAGCGTTTCGTTTTGTATAAGACTTCGTCGCTAACGCGGTGGACCGGCATAACCGGACGCTGAAAAACATGTAAGACCAAACATGTAAAAATGGAGACTTACTTCTAATGTCTACAGTAATTTTTATCTAAGCACGTTCGTAACGAATGTGAATAGCAGTAAACTACTTTCCAGGTACATCGACCTGTTTCGTGTACTACACCGCAAAGGCAATGCTTACACAGTTATGTTGCCTCGCAGGATGCGCGCGCATCCTGCATTTAAGTCATCCGTATCCACCCGTACTATCCGCACGAGGTCTCATCTTCGATGGAATGCACCCTCAACGCTCAAGAATCTCACATAGATTTATTTTTTGGTCTTAAGACAGTTTCATAATCTGGCTCTGTATTGCCGCATTTTGGAGACGAAGTTCATACACGTAGTCTCGAAAAGCTTGACGCCCTTACTCGTTCTCCAAATGGTGAAGCGTGAACTCCGCTCATTCATTAGACCGACGAAGGTGTAGGAGTCGCACCCACGCATACGCAAGGAGACGCTCCTATCTTTTTTAAACGGTGCGATTGCACAGATCGCGTTACACGTTGTTGAACACGATATATCTCCGTCTGCAACTCCAACACATAGATTGAAATTGATCTTCCTGCCCCCACCGCAGTCGTAGGTGGACTCGCACGGTGGTCAACGCTGTAATGTGAAGCGAATATTGGATCACCGTGACATGAAGGGGCAGCGAACGAGATACCCTGTTTGCTGTCGCGGCTGTCCGTTGCCACAAGACAGCTGAGCGAGACGCCCCCAGCTGTGCGTCGTCGTTGAGGGTTTACACAACCAGTACGACGAGACACATCCGATTACTCAAAAGGTACATTTGAGAAACACGCTGCCATGGAGCTGGCAGAGCGATTTCAGATTAGCCATCGCATCGCTCACCTCGAAAGAGACGTGCGCCCTACCCCAGGGCGAAGGGGAGTACACGTTGATTTGGCTACGGTTTGCGTGTTGTAGAAACAACGGAGATATGGATGGCCCCATTTGAGGCATAGAAGTACTACCCCACAGATGATGCAACCTGACTTCTGCACCCGTTTCAGTTCGTTTCTCATATCTGACACGAGCTACGTCAAGTTTTTCTATCCATGCATCACGCTTAATGTGCTGCACATTGGATATGAAAGCGTTTTGCGCTGCAGCAACGAGTTTTTTTTTTCGTTTGCTGTTGCCGCTATACCAACGATGCTTGAGAAAAGCATCGGGTAAAGTTATCTTCAGCGCGAAAGTTTCTCGCGCTGATGTCGAGGCCGTTTAACAGTCTTTCATTAAACAATGGGGTTCGATGATGTTGACTTGTCTCACCTGTAAATTCATTCGCAAGCCTTTCTAATTGTTTCAATGGCTTGTGTTCAGGGTCTAGACGCACCCCATTGCCGTCCAGAGCCTCCTGAATGGAATTAACGGAATTCTTGATATCACTACAACAGTATCACGACGATGCAAAACAAAACCGCATTCGCCAAGAAGCGCATGTGCAGCAGCAGGCGCAGAGATGAGTCAGAAAACTCATCCTCCGGTCTAAACAGGCTCTTATAGTCATAATGAGCCTGGCAACCCGCTCTAGTCCAATTCGTAGGCCAGTACTCGGTCACGCTTTGAGACTTGAACGACCTAGGCGTCTTCTTCGAGTCGGGCCCACCGTCCGACTCCCCCGAAAAGAAGAGTTCCACCTGGGAACCGTTAACATCAATAGCACGTGGTGACACACCACATGCCACTGCAGCAACTGGTGCTGCAGAAAGAGTTAAAGCGGCAGTAGACAAAGCATCGTCAAGAGAAGCTGCGATAACACGCTTAGCTGCCTTCTCAGCAGCTTCCGCCGCACATCGCATGGAGTAGTGACCCATGCGATGAAGATCCAAAATGAGTGTATCAGACCAAGACAAGTGCTCTCTTTCCCTGATGTGGTCTAACGGTGACCACGTCTACATGATAGTGACTAACTGAATATCGCTTAAGGGGGGGGTGATGCAACGGGGTTGACCTGATACATGTAATTATCCGTGATACTCCTTATTCAGAATATTATCATAAAGATTGATAGTGTTCGTGAATGTTGCCATATGGCGTCATATTACGAAGCACTGACCAATTGAATGATATGGGCTGTCATATCTGCCAGCTCTAGCGGTTCAATCAACGATGGACGCGCGCAATGTGTCGGAGCAAGACTGTAGCATACACTTCTTTTGATAAACATAATTAAGCTAGGAATAAATATGGGTACGTGTAATTAGGAATTAATTACAGTTAATTCAGTTTACCTTCTACTCCTATTGAACGCGTCATTCATTTGCTAGCTCTCCTCGGCACATACAGTGTACGTGAAGTGACGCGAGGCACTACCTACACTGTTGTCAGTGTTAGTGCACTAGTACTGAAGCAGTACTTGTAACCAGTGCCCCGTCTTAATGACGTAGAAGTCTCTCTAATTTTAATAAATTGCTTAATTCCAGACTGTAGATCGGTAATTACTAAATGCTTCAATATTTGAAATGGTTCAATCATCCACGAGCAGTACGTCAAACACAAGGTCAAGCTTTTCATTAAGAATTAATCAATGCCTACATATACATAGAATCTGGCAGCATGCTGTAGGTTAAAAGGGGCCATCGATCTCGCCGATCTCGGTGGCATGGTGACAGAAACTCGAGAATCCAGACTGTCAGCGACAACAATAGGGAATACATGACGAAGAACAGTGACGTCACACATCGACACAAGTAGTGAGAGGCTTCCAGTATCGCGAGACTGACGAGATCCATTTTCATCATCTTCACGCAACGCTGTGACAGCTTCTACTACGCAGATGTGCGCTACAAGCTGGCACCCGTTGCTTTCTGGATAGAATGAGGGATAGAAAGAGGCTCTACGTACTTCGCACTCTTCAAGCAGCACAACCAACGAAGCGTGCCCATTTGTGATGTTTTCGTTGTTATGCCGTGAAGCACCAAGCAGATTCATGAACCCCATCACGAATGATGTTCACGCGGATGAAGGCAGTGATCCGGGGAACAACGGTATCAGCTGATGTCAAACGGAATGTGCGGATACTGTCCGCACTGCTTGTCGCAAACTTGGAACCGAACTTACGCTGCTGCCCAGTGCTCGTGATTGCGCTATCGATACTCTGTACATCACCGAAAATGTGGAGAAAGAGAAACCCGTGTTCGTACAAGGATAGAGGAGGTCGAGGTGAGCATCGTAGGTCGTTGGCACACGAAGCCTACAGAATGCATTTTGATGCGAGATCATTGCAGCATAAGAGACATTGATGGCAGAACGAAATTCGACAGTGAGCTACATTGATGTCGCGTTACCCTTTTACTAGCCTACATGTGCGCGTCTCTGTCTTGAATTGTTTCAACAAGAGAAAGAGTCGCACTGTAGAACGGGTTTTGGGACTAAGCTCGAGCTTGTTTCTCAATATGTGCTCCGCCCTCCACGATCTCGGTCACACCAGTCTTGGTCGGATGATTCCTCGTGGTCGAATGAAGAGCTTGGCCGAAGGCCTAATCGCTCCGCACATGATGGTGTCCATATAGGACTTTGCTGTCCTTATCCGTGACGAGATCTGAAAGTAATTGGAGGCCATCGAGAAGTTCGTTGGACCGTGCAGCAGCACCTGCCGAGAAGTTCGTAAGACCGTGCAGCAGCACCTACCGGAGGAGCTTTCGCAGCGACAGCACTGAGCACGAGGTAAATGAGGAGGTTCATCTTGGACGGGTAGTGTGAAGGTGTGGGAGACTGAGAAGAATTTGGTAAGTTGCAGAATGACAAAGCAAAGCGACATACCTTCGGACGGGCTTGAATTGAATGGATTGTATAAGCCGTTTCGTCAGATGACGAACGGTATTTCAGACCGGGACTACATGTGGATGACTCACTACTCCGGCAACATCCATCTGATGTGCCTCTGGCAGTTTGGTACATATTACACTTACTACCTTACATTACTAAGGATAGGAGTCGAATAACGATGTGCAGAGGCACTAATGGTGCCCGGGCCATATGGATCAAAGAGAACCCAGTCGTGGGCACGTTATGCAATAACATTGTCAGGCCCTGCGACTGGAGCAAATCAACTTTCCTTGCACTTAAATGGCAACGAGCAGTCTCAACAGGACAGCAAGCAAGCTGTGCGTGGGTTGGAATCACGATTATAATGTGGTGAAGAGTAACAACAAGAATCTTGTCCAACATGGCACTGTGCAAACAATGATGGACGACATTTCTCGACCATACCACCAGGTACTCATGATGCAATGCTTTGCAAGGAATTTGACAAGTACCGCACACGTCGCAAGAAAAAGGAGCGCAGACGAGAAGCACTCATGTCGGCCTGCTCTATTCCATCTGAGTCTGCCAAACATCTTTATTGAGATGACCACACAGTAGGGTTACTGACCCAAAATGTGCAGGGATTTGAAAAACCGGACAAACTCGACATGATTGGCTTGCTTCAGGGATCTCACGTGCACAAGGAAGAAATTTTAGACGTCACTTTTGACTTTTGGCAACAGCCAAGAGCGAGTTGAGGTGGGAGAGCTTAGAAGAAGGTAAAATGGAAAGTGAATTATCATCTAGCTAGGTCCTTAGTTCGTCTCGTTGTACTACTCTAAGCCTATCGATATCGACTCTATAATATTAGTAACAAAACGATGAGTCGATCCCATCGTTACACACTATCACACAGTGTCGTCCATGACATATGGTCATTAGTATCAGTAACCAACACCGTTACCAATACTCCCCCTCGACTAGAAGTCTCTGATCTTGGCCTTGTCCAGCAGCGACTCGAACTTCTTTGTCGAAATCGGTTTGGTCAGAAAATCTGCCAGCTGTGACTTGGTTTCAGTATACTGCAGGTCGATAATCTTGTCTTTCACCTGTTCGCGCACAAAATGGTATCTGATGTCGATATGTTTCGCTCGACTTTGATAGCCGTCGTTCTTAGCGATAGCGATTGCACTCTGGTTGTCTTCGTGAATCTTGACAGCATAGTTAATCTGCACTTGCATCTCCTTGAGTAGACTTCTTGTCCACAGAACCTCCTGCACACATAAAGAAAGAGCCATATACTCTGCTTCTGCCGTGCTCAGTGCCACGCTCTGCTGCATCTTCGACTTGAAAATCACAGGTGCGCCATTAATCATGATAAAAACTCCCGAAATCGATCTGCGATTCCACTTGTTACTTGCCCAGTCTGCATCGGTGTACGCGCTCAGCTGAAGATTGCCTGAAACTCCTTCATAACAAATTCCTTTGCTCTGCGTCGTCTTCAGATATCGCAACACTCGAATCGCTGCATTCCAGTGCTCTTCATGTGGAAATTCCAAATGACGACTCAGCTGACATACTGTATACGCAATATCTGGTCGTTTGCCTGTTGCCACATACAACAACGACCCCACTAACGATCGATACGGTCGATTCTTCATTCTTGTGTCAGCTTTGTCCATCTTGACCATCGCTTGCCCTTCAACACTTGGATTTGACACTGCTTTCGCATCAACTTGATTAAATTTCTCGACCATTCTTGATATACACGATCCTTGACTGATCTTCAGACGTCGATTGTTGCGCAGGTACTTGACTTCGATTCCAAGAACGTATCGAACACCCTCTAGTATCTTCAACTGGAAACGACTTGATAGTTGAGCTGCCACATCTTCCATCACTCCAGTAGATTCAGCCCCAATTAGAAGGTCGTCCACATATAATGCAGCGTAAATCCACGAGCCCTTGGTCTCTTTGACGAAAATGCATGAGTCTGCCACGCATGAAAAGAACCCCATCTCCACAAACATACACGAAATTGTCTTGTACCATGTAGCGGCCGCTTGTTTCAGCCCATACAGACTGCGATTCAGCTTAAGCACTTGATTATGTTCTGCACGAACACCCAGAGGAGGGTATACGTATACCTCTTCTTCCAAAACGCCATACAGAAACGCAGTGTCGACATCATATTGATGAATCAACATCCCCTTTTGACAGCACACCGCCAAAAACACCCGTATTGAGTTGAGGTTTGCCACAGGTGAATATGTCTCCATGTAGTCAACTCCATACGTCTGCCTGTAGCCAAGTGCTACAAGACGTGCCTTGTATCGAATAATCTCACCCAGCTCGTTTCGTTTGAGTGCGAACACCCACTTGGTTCCAATCACTTTCTGGTTTGGACGCTGTGTTTGAACAGTCCAGGTGTCCTTTTCCTCTAATGCCTTGAGCTCAGCTTGAATGGCCTTGTACCAATTATCACGACGAGGTGACTTAAGAGCTTCTTCGTATGTCGTTGGGGTCTCGAACGCTGCACATGCTTGCTCATACCCAATACGTAGTCTCTTTGTGCCTTTTTCTTGACACACTTCTGAGCCGTCATAAAAGTCCTCATCAGCACCATTCACTGGTATTAACGCTTGAGATTGTCCATGTTGAACCGATTCTAGTGGAACCATCGCGGTTTCTTGCGATGCTTGAATACTTGTCTGTCGACTTGGTCGTATCACCATCTGTCCTTGTCTTGACACGTCTTCAGCCGATTCTTGATCTTCTTCAATCATCGTCACATCATCAATTTCAAACATTGGATCGTCAGCATTGGAACCCACGTGTTCAGGCATCTTGCTACTGCATCTTGATGGTAGAGCCATCGTTGTTGTACGCCTGTCTTGCATGTGACTCTCTTCTTGAACACTGTGACTGTCCTCCATTGCTATGTCCATGTCTTTCGTGACTCGTGGCTGTTCTAAATCGATAGAAACAGTGTCTTCGTCATGAACAGCGCGAAACTCTTGGTCACTTGATCTGCTGTAACGTTGCACGTACTGAAGTGGTGGTCTCTCATCGAATTTAGCCGATCTCGTGTGCGTCACCCTCTTGGCATCTTCATCCCATATTCGAAGCCCCTTGATTTGATCCGAGTAACCTAGAAAAATACATCGAATCGCCTTCTTGGTCATCTTGGTCCTGTTCGACTTGTCGACATGTGCATATCCCTTTGATCCAAATACACACATCTCGGAGAGGTCAGGCTTCTTCCCGAAGATGAACTCAAATGGAGTTTTAGTCGGGTGACTAGCACATGGAACTCGGTTTGTCACATAGACTGCCGTGTTCATCGCCTCAGCCCACCAAATTTTATCCACTTGCATATGGCTGAGCATTGCTCTGGCCCGCTCTGTCAGTGTCCTGTTCATGCGTTCGGCCAGCCCATTCTGTTGTGGCGAATAGGGTACCGTCGTCTGATGCATGATACCAGATTTTCGACATACACCGGAGAAACGTCTGTTGACGTATTCCGTCCCGTTGTCCGTCCTGATACACTTGATCTTCTTGGACAGTTGATTCTCCATAAGTGCCTTATACTCTATAAAGCGATCCGTCACTTCCGACTTGTTCTCAATATAGTATGCGACTATATATCTCGAATAATCATCAATAAAAGTCACGACAAATCTTGATCCTCCTCGAGACTTCGATTCCATAGGTCCCATGACATCACTGTGGACCAACTGCAACACCTCCTTGGTTTTCACGTGTCCGTATGGTGACTTCGGAAACGTCTTGACGGTTGCTTTACCCATGATGCACCCTTCGCAGATCTCGATATCATCTTCAACGCCTTGATTCTTCTTGATCTTTAATCCATTGACGCAACCTGCCATACCCTTGAGCATCTTCGTTGACAGGTGACCTAATCTTGCATGCCACACTTGTAGATCAGCCGCTCCTGATCCGTCACTTGATTCTTGCTCTTGAGATGTCTCTCCGCAAACGTTGGCTACCTCAGCCGGACTGCACTCTAAGACGTACATCTTGTTTCGTCTTGGTATTTGGGCAACGACTTCCGTGTTACTTCTGATCTGACAGCTCAGATCTGAGAAGATCACTTGTAGACCCCTCTTTGACAATGCCGATATTGACAGTAGCCTTCGGTCTAGGCCCGGCACCCATAGCGTTTCTTCGATCCTGATCACTTCACCAGTCTTGAGTTGCACGCGCACTGTCCCAACACCTTGCGCTTCCACTTCGCTGCCGTCTGCTATGGTGATCATGATCGGGTCCGTCAGTGAGTTTAAATTCGAAAACTCATTTCTGTCGGGACACATGTGGCTGCTTGCCCCACTGTCCAATAACCATCCAGCTGACGTCCGACTTGACGCAGTAAATGCTCTCTCTTCTCCAGATCGCTCTGTCTCCACTTGTTCAGCCTTGCAATCTTGACGCTTGTGCCCATATTTGTTACATCGGTAACACCTTCCCGAAAACTTTTCACCTCTTGAACTTGATCTCCCCATATGTCTGCGCGGACCTTTCTTGTACTTGGAAGTGTGCGTACTTTTCAGTGCGATTTCTTGGTGTTCTGTCCTCGCCATTCCATCGTACTCCCGTCTCAGCATTTCCTTAGCGTGAAACAGTGTCATTCCGGGCATGTTCTCAATTATCTTGACGATAGGGTCATAGTCTCTCGTTAGACTACCCAATAGGATGACCAAATGCTCATCCTGTGAGATCTCTTGTCCCACAGCTTGCATAGTCATGCACAGCTCGTCAAATCTCAGGAAGTGATCCATGATGCTTCCTCCCTTGGCCAACTTGAACTCATGTAGTTGCCGCCGCAACTGCACACGATTGTGCATACTTTGCCGCAGGAAGAAAGTCTTCAGTATGTCCCATGCTTTTGCCGTTGTCTCTGCCGTGCGCACCATTGACTGAAGATTTGTGCTGATCATTGTGGACACAATCGCGAAGGCCTTCATGTCGTTGACTTTCCAAGTTGACGCGCTTGCGTCTCCTTCTTCTGGGGCCTTCATAGCGTCTAGGTGCTCTAGCAATCCCTTCTTTGCCAGCCTCATCCTTGCGTTGAACTCCCACACGAAGTAGTTATCTTCGCGGAGTATGTCGCCCGCATCCGGCGTAGTTGGGCTCATAACCTTTTGACTTTTGGCAACAGCCAAGAGCGAGTTGAGGTGGGAGAGCTTAGAAGAAGGTAAAATGGAAAGTGAATTATCATCTAGCTAGGTCCTTAGTTCGTCTCGTTGTACTACTCTAAGCCTATCGATATCGACTCTATAATATTAGTAACAAAACGATGAGTCGATCCCATCGTTACACACTATCACACAGTGTCGTCCATGACATATGGTCATTAGTATCAGTAACCAACACCGTTACCAATAGTCACTCGGGAGCATGCCGGCCATTATGGATATCGCGCAGCGCAAGGGTGCCCGAAGTTGTCATATTGGGCAGCGGCAACGAAGCGTACTGCTGGGGTCAGTATCTTGTTACATCCTTGCGGTCCGTTTACCAGGACCTCTCAACCATAAGCAGATCTCTAGTTTTCTCATTCATGGCGCTTAAAACCTCAGACGAAAATAATGAAGTCTACTTAGTCAATATTTACGCGCCGGTCATTCGCGGTGAAAATGAACGCTTCTTTTACTCTCTTGATCTCTCTCGATATTCCAGCTGGCACGCACGTCTACATGGTAGGGGATCTCAATTTTACTCTCTATGGCAGACGCGATAGATCTTTTAACCTACTGCTTTAGATCATGATTCTCTTGGATAACGCGACCTTATAAATAAATGGCGGTTGACTGACACTCTGGACAATTACTTACCTAAACAAAATGACGAAGCAGCTCTTGCTTTATTCCACGAGACTCATCATACCTATCACTACCTGGTAGTAGGGTTCGGCAGAGCATCTAGTAGGCTTGATCGCTGGTACGTCAACGACCAGGCTCTTTTATGGCCAGCATTGACAGAGCTAGACATTTATGGGTACGAAGGGGAGCACAAAGGGGTTTTGTTACACCTCCAGTTGCCAGACAATACCATCAGGTGCAAAAGCAACCGCGGGTTTTTCAGTACCCTCTTACGCAGGAGATAGAGTGGATAAATTCATCGCCAGCGCTATTCCGGTGTAAGCATGTACTATTAATTCGGGCAACGTATCCGGAGCTGACGCGGCGCAATTACGGGATCAGTTTAAGACACAGATTGTACGTGGGGTCGTTTCGGCTAAACGACATGCCAAGAAGGGTTTGAAGAACATTTGTCGCCAGAAGCTACGCCGCCAGCTAAAAGATTAGCTAGTATTCAAAATGAAATACGGACTATGACGCTCACATGCACGGCAGACCCGACCGAACTCATATCGACACTAAAGTAACTCCGTAGTAACCTTGCGACAGCAAAACAAGAGTGCCAAACAGAGAAGACATTTTCGATCACATACCTGGTGGGATGGCCTAACAACTAAGCAATTTTCTTGAAGAATTTCGTGTAAGTTTGCTGACAAAATGATACCTGCCTTGTGGCCCGCCCCAGATCAACCGGGGCGCAAGATCTACGACAAAGCCGACACTTTGGCGGATGCCTGGATGTCCATTTTTCAAGGGAGACTGAAGGACACACGTCACGCCCGGTTGTCGATTATTTGAAAGCCGTAGCACTCTAGATCTCGCCAACTTAAATGGAGCAGAACTCTTATTCGAAGATAGGGTCGGCTGCTATTATTAGGTGCAAATAAGGAAAAGAATGTGGGCCTGACCAGCTTGGTAACGACTGGCATCGCAACTACGCTGAAGTACTTGCACCCCTGTTGACTTCGCTTTACAAGCTGTGGTATACCGAACAGTTTTTCCGGTCTCTTTTTTAAATGCAGATATTTTCTGCCTGAAAAAAACTAGGGGACGGGAGTAGTCCGTTAATCATCGCCCTTTAGCCCTTCTTAACACGGACTATAAAATACTGACGAGATCGTTTGCCACACAAGTCAGAAATTCGTTAGCTACCCGGATCAACGTGCATCAGCATGGATTTATCCCGGGCAGGGATATTCACACTGTAATTGATTATTTTAAGGCGGCTAAGGCTGCAGCACTTCATCGTCCCGAATCTTGCGACGCACTCTCCCTCCTACTGGACTTCGCGAAAGCTTACGACCCTCTGGATAGGAGATTCTTATGTACCACTTTAAGACGACATGAATATCCTCCAAGTTCGTGAAAATTATCGAACTTTTACACACTGGCACATCTGTGAAATTTTTGGCAAATGGAGAAAAGTCTTGGAGCGTGCAGGTAACAATAGGAATCCGCCAATGATGTCCTCTTGCACCCCTCCTTTTTATTTTAGCATCAGAGCCTCTTTACCAGAAATTGGATTCTCTGTCAGGACACGCGGGGGTCCACTTAAAAACAGACTCCCTGTCATTTACATTGCGGGTTGCTGATTACGCAGACGACACGGCTGTATACCTGCAGTCACCACACTACGTTGCGGACGTCTTAAAGCTGTTCAAGATTCTGGAGACGGATCGGGATTGGAGTTTAATGGAGAAAAGACTATAGCGATTGCATTGCATGATCAAGGCTTAACGTCGACACACATGGGACTGGTCTGCAAGCTATTGGAGACAGATGCTTACTGCTGGTACTTAGGCATACAGATAGACAGTGGTTCCACTTCTGGAATTAATCAAAATTTCTTGGAGAACCACATTAGGACCAGGTTGCAGATGGCAAGTCATAAAACCCTTACGATTGAGCAGAGATCACGTACCGCTTCAGCGGTGAAAATATCTAAGCTCCTATATGTTGGACGACACGCCTGGCCGGACACAGCAACAGTCCACCGAGTTGATGGATTAATGACGAACTATACCTGGCACGGTATTTTTGGTGCATTTTAGGGGCGTCGAACTAAATGGCTCGCGGAGGCGATCGCGAAGTTGCCAAGAAAGAATTTGGCTTAGGTATTCCAGATTTCAGAGCCGAACCTCTTACAATGGTTGCTGTAGCAGTTTTCAGATGGGGAACAGAGACTTCTGCAATGGGTCAGGCACTCGAAGATATTCTCTTTCGACCCAACGGGATGCCTACCACACGTTACGTTACCCCTGGATTTTCACATCACCCCATTCACGGATATCGATCTGGACAAACCCTTTGGGAAGTGGGGGCTCAGATGATCGAATGTAAGGTTATTCAAAACGTGTCGATTGAGCATAGAGCCCTCGTGAGCAAGCTCTACCCGCAAGTGGAAGCTGCGCTCGGTGCGTGGGAATTGCACGGAAGTGATCATGTGGTTACCGACTTGCGCGAGCTAGTTGATTTGCGCACCAGCACCTTGCGTAGACTTTGCGCACATACGTATGGTTCGTTCTGCGTATAGTGGCTTCCGTTTGCAGAAATACAGCCTTTGTTTTTCTTAAATGCCCACAGCGAGCAGCAGAATCTCACTCAGCAATCTTTCGCCCGTCCGGGGCTTCAAATACGGGATTACATGGACTGTGGACGTGCCTGGCATTGTCAGCTGGAACGTCCACTTGCAAGTATCAGAGGAGGATGTTCGGTTGACACTTACTTTATTGGTGATTAATTATCCCATGTTCATGTATAAGCGACACATTACCTCAGAATTAAGATTTACGACCCAACCCCTTAATCACTCCATGACGGCGCGTGTGCGTGAGTATCAAGCTCAGTTAGGAGCAGTCCAAGTCGCTGTGACCACCCACCTATCCTCCCCAGAGTTGCATCTTTCGGTGACATCAAGACAGGATATTCTTACCGAATTACAACGACCATTTTAGCGAGAATTGCTGGTCAACGCAGTACACCCGTATCCATTGCTGGATCGGATCGTGGCACTATGGTCTGAGGCGCCATATACCAGATGCTCTTGACACATTTTCAACAGTTCAGTAATGGCTACATCAAATCGCCATGGTCGGAGAGATGCGGCTAGTAGAGTAACCGCGTGGACAGGTGAAGGTGCCGGGCTCGCAAAGGCCCTTGAGGACATTACATGGAAAGATCTGCAATCTATACACGGTAATACGGTGTGAGGAGCTCCAGTTTTCACAGATTTAAGCTACGTACATTTACCAACTGGCATTCTGTTAAAGAGCGCCCTGGGTGTCCTTTTTCAACCTGCGAGGAGAGCCAAAAGGGCACTTATCATATATTCTGGACTTGCGCTGAAGCTCAACCCCTCTGAGACACTTTTCTTCGCCGGTGGGGGATGTTAGGACTTGAAGATTCATGTGTCACAGCTCAATATATATTGGGCTTGGAGTTGGCGGCGGTACCTGAAAGAGTTTGGGAGGTAGTGGATGTACTCTATCGCACCTACACACGCGGCATGTTGGATGCCATCACGGGACAGGTTATCAAGTGAGTCGTAAGCATTGGAAGCTGGGAATTATTTACACAATTCGAGCTATTTGGAGGCGGCATTGCAGATGTCGATCTCTGCACCTGAACAATGACTTATACCGAGCACAAATGTTGCTTGAAGGGCGATTGTTCCAAGGTGCAGCCGCGATAAAGCAACAGCTTTATGACAATTCGCAGTCCAAATCATTGCATTAAGCAGCCTTTCTAATTTCAAGGCATTCACTGAAATTGATGGCGGGCACCCATCTTAAGGTGCTGTCAACTGTGCGGACCCTCGCATAATACAATTCTTCGATGGTGGTGCCCGAGGCAACCCGAGACCGGGTGAATCAGGCTCGGTGATTGTTAAGATGGGCGCGATTGATCTCCAACCCAGAATATACTGGATGGCCAGTGTATCTTACGCATCCAAGACCACCACAAACAACCTAGCGGAATATCGAGGTTTACTGGTGGGGTTACGCAAAGCTCAACTACAACTTACAAGGGCTACATGTTGTAGGGGATAGCAACCTGATTATTCAGCTCATGATCAGGCGAAAACCGCCTAAGGCATCACACTTGCGTGAACAATGCACAATGCCGCACAATAGCTGACCGTTTGCACATCATGCATTGGGATCACCGCCTACGATATTTCAAGAAAATAGCAGATTCTTTGGCTAATATAGCAATGGATACGAAGAAAAGCACTCAAGTATTGGAGGCCAGCCTCTCACAGCTGCCAACGACATGGAACGTGATTTGGATTCTTTCGAGGGGGCATCAACCGTTAGATAACCATGCATTCACATTTGGCTCTCCCGGACACGAATGAGATAAGAAAATCGACTGAGGCAGATTTTGTCACTGCCTGTGTCAACCCTCGTGTAGTAGTTGGCAATCTGTCAGGAGATGCGTAGGCTCCTGACGGCAGGACATTGGCTAGTCGTTAGAATATCTAAATGACTATGTTGTACCCTTTAAAATATATATATATTAGCTGTTTCGTCGCTGAAAAAGACGAACTTTTGTCCACACACGACGTACTTGCTGGAGAAAACGCATGCTTGTTGAAGGTCAGGAAGTCGGCAACGACCTGGACAGGCGAATGCGACTTTTGCTGGCCTGTTGGTTGCAAGTTGCGATGTCTCACCCTTCCAGCCTTCTTGCAGACGATCAAAATTAAGAACCAACCCGGACATCATACTCTTCATCAGCAAGGAGACATCTTTTGACTACAACATCGTCTTGACATCCTTTGGTGAACTTTGTGGCTGGAGACAGGTTGATTTTACCGAAGTCGGCTCGCCGGCTGGATTGTGGCTAACCAACGTGCTTCGTCGAAGACCGTACGACCACTGCACAGCGAGTAAGAGCTACTCAGCATCACTAGAGCATTTATGACACTTACATTCGGTGCCGTGCTCCTGCATTCTGACGCACACTCGACATACTTTTCAAGCCGCAGTACATTCGCGGAGTCGATTGTCACAAATGTATTCATTTCCTGCCTCGACCAGTCGCGGGTTGAGTACCGGCCCACATTGTCATAGGCGCCCAGCTGTTCGTTTCATAGGGGTCCATTCGGAAGTCGTGATACCCGCGAAACCGCCGCGGACTGATGGTGTACGTGCATCCACAAAGTCGGTACGAATGAAAACGCGAGAGCGGTGGCTTGAAATCGGTGATCAGTAGGAATCGTGTACAAAGTACGTAGACGGTTGCGGGCATCAAAGGTGCTCGGGATCGAGCAACCAATCGCTGGAACGAAAACGCGAATGTCAGCTTGAGGAAGGGTCGACCGATTCATGGCAGAAGGCCCAAGGCGAACAAGAACAGATTTCTGTGACCAGCAAATGACGCTTTCTGTGACGAGCGAAAAGACGATTGCATACAGGCAGGTGGGAAACACGCGCTAAGAACCGCCACTGTCGCTGAAGTATCGGGTCTCTCGGCGCACGATATGAGATGCACGCTCACAGCACGGCGCTGTGGGAAGAGCACGCCCAGCGCCCGTAAATATTTCAGTCGTCCTTTCATAGATGAGCTCGCTTACCCCTCCTTCTCGTCTCACCGTTGACTCCCTGGTCCACGAGCCCTATTTGTGAGTGAATGCAAGCATGATAGGCAGGAAGTCATGTTACCGACCCGTACGAGGCTGTCGTAGGAACTTGCGAAAGAAAAGAGCGCTACACCAATTACTGGATCGACCAAGCGAAAACGCTCATCTGCTCGCACTACCCCTTACAGCGGTGAGCGACAAGGTTGCTGGCATAGGAGCGGTTCAGACATCTACATGCACTGCCTCTTTTCGGGGACCAGCAACCGTGTCCTCCCGAATCGTCTGCCACCACCAGAGCGGGCATGCTCTGCAGTGCAACAGATACGTCCATCAGCGCCGTCCATCAGCTCCGTCCATGACTCCAGTTGTGCCACACCATTGATGTCATGTTGGTAGCTTGTTCATAGTCTACTATTTGTTCTTTCAGAGCTTCGCGAGACGTCGTCGGGAACACGTCGTCATCCGGGGGCCATCGCCGTTTTCTTTCTGCAGCAACAACGAACACGCAGACTACAAATGAACCCTTTTCGAGCTCACATACGCATGTTCGACATGTCCGGGTTGGTAACGGACAAACCTGCACGTATTAGTGATATCCTAGACACCCCACCCCGTGCGTGTCCTGTAAATAGTACAGCGAGGAGGTTAGAAGGGGCCATCGATCTCGCCGATTTCGGTGGCATGGTGACAGAAACTCGAGAAGCCAGGCTGTCAGCGACAACAATAGGGAGTACATGACGAAGAGCGGTGACGTCACACATCAACGTGCAAGTAGTGAGCGGCTTCCAGTATCACGAGACTGACGAGATCCATTTTCATCATCTTCACGCAACGCTGTGACAGCTTCAACTACGCAGACGCGCGCTACAAGCTGGCACTCGTTGTTTTCCGGATGGAATGAGGGATAGAAAGAGACTCTACTTACTTCGCACTCTTCAAGCAGCACAACCAACGAAGCGTGCCCATTTGTGATATTCTCGTTGTTATGCCGTGATGCACCAAGCAGATCCATGAACCCCATCACGAATGATGTTCACGCGGATGAAGGGAATGATCCGGGGGACAATGGTATCAGCTAGTGTCAAACAGAATGTGCGGATACTGTCCGCACTGCTTGTCGCAAGCTTGGCACAGAACTTACACTGCCGCCCAGTGCTTATGATTGCGCTATCTATACTCTGCATAGTACCGAAATGTGGAGAAAGAACCCGTGTACGTGCAAGAATAGAGGAGGTCGAGGTGCGTATCGTACGAGGCTGGCACACGAAGTCTACAGAATGCATTTTGATGAGAGATGATTGCAGCATAAGAGATATTGATGGCAGAACGACATTCGAAAGTGAGCTGCATTGGTGTCGCGTTACCCTTTTACTAGCCTACACGTGTGCGTCTCTGTCTCGGATCGTTTCAACAAAAGAGAGAGAGAGTCGGCACTGTAGAACAGGGTTTTGGGACGAGGCTTGAGCTTGTCTCTCAAAATGTGCTCCGCCCACCACGGTCTCGGTCACACCAGTCCTGGTCGGATGATTCCTCGTGGTCGAACGAAGAGCTTGGCCGAAGGCCTAATCGCCCCGCACATGGTGGCGTCCGTATACGACTTTGCTGTCCTTATCCGTGAGGAGATCTGAAAGTACTTTGAGGCCATCGAGAAGTTCGTTAGACCGTGCAGCAGCACCTGCCGGATCTTGTCCGTAGGTGGTCGTCGTAGCGACAGCAGTGAGCACGAGGCAAATGAGGAGGTTCATCTTGGACGGATAGTGTGAAGGTGTGGGAGACTGGGAAGAACTCGGTAAGTTGCAGAATGAAAAAGCGAAGCGACAAACCTTCGGACGGGCTTGAATCGAATGGACCGAGCTATAAGCCATTGTTCGTCGCTGAAAAGACGAACTTCTACCCACACACGACGCACTTGCTGAAGAAAACGCTTGCTTGTTGAAGGTCAGGAAGTCGGCAACGACCCGGATAGGCGAATGCGACTTTTGCTGGCCTGTTGGTTGCAAGTTGCGATGTCTCAGCCTTTCAGCCTTCTTGCAGACCATCAAAATCAAGAACCAAACCCGACGTCATACTCTTCATCAGCAAGGAGACATCTTTTGATTACAACATCGTCTTGACATCCTTTGGTGAACTTTGTGGTTGGAGACAGGTTGATTTTACCGAAGTCGGCTCGCCGGCTGGATTGTGGCTAACCAACGTGCTTCGTCGAAGACCGTACGACCACTGCACAGCGAGTAAAAGCTACTCAGCATCACTAGAGCATTTCTGACGTTTATATTTGGTGCCGTGTTCCTGCATTCCGACGCACATCGACATACTTTTCAAGCCGCAGTCCATTCGTGGGGTCGATTGACACAAATGAATTCATTTCCTGCCTCGATCAGTCGCGGGTTGACTACCGGCCCACATTATCATAGGCGCCCAGCTGTTCGTTTCATGGGGGTCCATTCGGAAGTCGTGATACCCGCGAAACCGCCGCGGACTGATGGTGTATGTGCATCCACAAAGTCGGTACGAATGAAAACGAGAGAGTAGTGGCTTGAAATCGGTGATCAGTAGGAATCGTGTACAAAGTACGGAGACGGTTGCGGGCATCGAAGGTGCTCATGATCGAGCAGCCCATCGCTTGAGCGAGAAACACGAGTGTCAGCTTGAGGAAGGGTCGATCGATTCATGGCAGAAGGCCCAAGGCGAACAAGAACAGATTTCTGTGACCAGCAAATGACGCTTTCTGTGACGAGCGAAAAGACGATTGCATACAGGCAGGTGGGAAACACGCGCTAAGAACCGCTACTGTCGCTGAAGTATCGGGTCTCTCGGCGCACGATATGAGATGCACGCTCACAGCACGGCGCTGTGGGAAGAGCACGCCCAGCGCCCGTAAATATTTCAGTCGTCCTTTCATAGATGAGCTCGCTTACCCCTCCTTCTCGTCTCACCGTTGACTCCCTGGTCCACGAGCCCTATTTGTGAGTGAATGCAAGCATGATGGGCAGGAAGTCATGTTACCGACCCGTACGAGGCTGTCGTAGGAACTTGCGAAAGAAAAGAGCGCTACACCAATTACTGGATCGACCAAGCGAAAACGCTCATCTGCTCGCACTACCCCTTACAGCGGTGAGCGACAAGGTTGCTGGCATAGGAGCGGTTCAGACATCTACATGCACTGCCTCTTTTCGGGGACCAGCAACCGTGTCCTCCCGAATCGTCTGCCACCACCAGAGCGGGCATGCTCTGCAGTGCAACAGATACGTCCATCAGCGCCGTCCATCAGCTCCGTCCATGACTCCAGTTGTGCCACACCATTGATGTCATGTTGGTAGCTTGTTCATAGTCTACTATTTGTTCTTTCAGAGCTTCGCGAGACGTCGTCGGGAACACGTCGTCATCCGGGGGCCATCGCCGTTTTCTTTCTGCAGCAACAACGAACACGCAGACTACAAATGAACCCTTTTCGAGCTCACATACGCATGTTCGACATGTCCGGGTTGGTAACGGACAAACCTGCACGTATTAGTGATATCCTAGACACCCCACCCCGTGCGTGTCCTGTAAATAGTACAGCGAGGAGGTTAGAAGGGGCCATCGATCTCGCCGATTTCGGTGGCATGGTGACAGAAACTCGAGAAGCCAGGCTGTCAGCGACAACAATAGGGAGTACACGACGAAGAGCGGTGACGTCACACATCAACGTGCAAGTAGTGAGCGGCTTCCAGTATCACGAGACTGACGAGATCCATTTTCATCATCTTCACGCAACGCTGTGACAGCTTCAACTACGCAGACGCGCGCTACAAGCTGGCACTCGTTGTTTTCCGGATGGAATGAGGGATAGAAAGAGACTCTACTTACTTCGCACTCTTCAAGCAGCACAACCAACGAAGCGTGCCCATTTGTGATATTCTCGTTGTTATGCCGTGATGCACCAAGCAGATCCATGAACCCCATCACGAATGATGTTCACGCGGATGAAGGGAATGATCCGGGGGACAATGGTATCAGCTAGTGTCAAACAGAATGTGCGGATACTGTCCGCACTGCTTGTCGCAAGCTTGGCACAGAACTTACACTGCCGCCCAGTGCTTATGATTGCGCTATCTATACTCTGCATAGTACCGAAATGTGGAGAAAGAACCCGTGTACGTGCAAGAATAGAGGAGGTCGAGGTGCGTATCGTACGAGGCTGGCACACGAAGTCTACAGAATGCATTTTGATGAGAGATGATTGCAGCATAAGAGATATTGATGGCAGAACGACATTCGAAAGTGAGCTGCATTGGTGTCGCGTTACCCTTTTACTAGCCTACACGTGTGCGTCTCTGTCTCGGATCGTTTCAACAAAAGAGAGAGAGAGTCGGCACTGTAGAACAGGGTTTTGGGACGAGGCTTGAGCTTGTCTCTCAAAATGTGCTCCGCCCACCACGGTCTCGGTCACACCAGTCCTGGTCGGATGATTCCTCGTGGTCGAACGAAGAGCTTGGCCGAAGGCCTAATCGCCCCGCACATGGTGGTGTCCGTATACGACTTTGCTGTCCTTATCCGTGAGGAGATCTGAAAGTACTTTGAGGCCATCGAGAAGTTCGTTAGACCGTGCAGCAGCACCTGCCGGATCTTGTCCGTAGGTGGTCGTCGTAGCGACAGCAGTGAGCACGAGGCAAATGAGGAGGTTCATCTTGGACGGATAGTGTGAAGGTGTGGGAGACTGGGAAGAACTCGGTAAGTTGCAGAATGAAAAAGCGAAGCGACAAACCTTCGGACGGGCTTGAATCGAATGGACCGAGCTATAAGCCATTGTTCGTCGCTGAAAAGACGAACTTCTACCCACACACGACGCACTTGCTGAAGAAAACGCTTGCTTGTTGAAGGTCAGGAAGTCGGCAACGACCCGGATAGGCGAATGCGACTTTTGCTGGCCTGTTGGTTGCAAGTTGCGATGTCTCAGCCTTTCAGCCTTCTTGCAGACCATCAAAATCAAGAACCAAACCCGACGTCATACTCTTCATCAGCAAGGAGACATCTTTTGATTACAACATCGTCTTGACATCCTTTGGTGAACTTTGTGGTTGGAGACAGGTTGATTTTACCGAAGTCGGCTCGCCGGCTGGATTGTGGCTAACCAACGTGCTTCGTCGAAGACCGTACGACCACTGCACAGCGAGTAAAAGCTACTCAGCATCACTAGAGCATTTCTGACGATTATATTCGGTGCCGTGTTCCTGCATTCCGACGCACACTCGACATACTTTTCAAGCCGCAGTCCATTCGTGGGGTCGATTGACACAAATGAATTCATTTCCTGCCTCGATCAGTCGCGGGTTGACTACCGGCCCACATTATCATAGGCGCCCAGCTGTTCGTTTCATAGGGGTCCATTCGGAAGTCGTGATACCCGCGAAACCGCTCCGGACTGATGGTGTACGTGCATCCGCAAAGTCGGTACGAATAAAAACGCGAGAGCGGTGGTTTGAAACCGGTGATCAGTAGGAATCGTGTACAAAGTACGGAGACGGTTGCGGGCATCGAAGGTGCTCATGATCGAGCAGCCCATCGCTTGAGCGAGAAACACGAGTGTCAGCTTGAGGAAGGGTCGACCGATTCATGGCAGAAGGCCCAAGGCGAACAAGAACAGATTTCTGTGACCAGCAAATGACGCTTTCTGTGACCAGCGAATAGACGATTGCATACAGGCAGGTGGGAAACACGCGCTAAGAACCGCTACTGTCGCTGGAGTATCGGGTCTCTCGGCGCATCATGTGAGACGCTCCCTCACAGCACGGCGCTGTGGGAAGAGCACGCCCAGCGCCCGTAATTATATTTGCCGTCCTTTCACAGATGAGCTCGCTAATCCCTCCTTTTTGTCCCACCGTTGACTCCCTGGTCCACGAGACATATTTGTGAGTGAATGCAAGCATGGCGAGCGCGAAAGTATGTTACCGACCCGTACGACGCTGTTGTAGGAACTTGCGAAAAGAAAGGAGCGCTACACCGATTGCTGGATTGTAACGGGGTCGCACGAAATTATGGTACTTTGTACCAGAGGTGTTACACACCTGAGGCTACCCCTTTGTCAAGGTGATATAGAATAGCTTATCGGTTTGTAGGGGCTGACGAGTGTCAGCCATTAGGTGCGAAAGATCTTTGAGTAGGATTTAGATATTCTATAGGCTTTAACAAAAATAAAATCAGTTCTCATTTTGATCTGAAGGACACGTGGCTTGCGAGCCGTCTTGATCGTTGATCACTGATCACTAAGAGCTAGCAACACCTCCTTGAGGTAGCTACTCTTGAGCACTGAGTGCTGTCGATTCACTGAATCGTTAGGTCCCCTGGAACAGGGATCTGAAGCTGTAAAGCTTGTTGACTCGTAAAGTCGTTAGTTCTTTGGAACTAAGTTGCTCGTAGAGCGTTAAGTCTTCCTCTGACTTAAGGAGCTGTGTAGCACCGCTACACTTGGTAGCACTCGTAGTCAATCTACGCCTGAGTCTTTAAGACTGATCCTCTGTGAGGATGGAAAACTCCACTCCCCTATCTGAGGCCCGAAAGGTCGCGCTTGATAAGCTGACCGCATCTTTGGGTCCAGAGTACGTGGAGTTCCTTGTTTCACAAGGTCCTGAAGTGCTTAATGCACGTGTTGATAGCTTCATGCAGTATGAAGCGACCCTTTTAAAACAGGTCCGAGACCAAATGGCGTCGGCTATGCCTACACGCTACGTGTCTGTACCAGACGAAGAGGTTAAGCCTCGTCCAC